CTTTAAGAGTGTCCCAGGTGTGCATGTGCAGGAAAGAGCCTCTTCATCATCCTTGTCCACCCACTCCCACTGTTCTTCGTTAAGCACAAAATTCCATTTTTTTTCTTCTTCTGTATCCTTTATGCATTATGCCAATTATTCCTCTTCTTTCACAAACTCGTCCTCTTCGTAATGGAATGGTACAATCCCTTGTAGTTTTCTGTAATGGGCAGCCGCTTCCTTCCGGTGCTGTAGTTGGCACTGAGCAGGGTTGGCATCGAGGAAATGTTATTTCGTCCTTTACTCCCATACCATTAGTTTCATGTGGCTCTGGTTCAGACATTCTGCAACTATTTTGGGTCCGTATTTACTTTGCTTTCTAACGGCTTCTGGTGGCACCGGGAATTCCTCCCTTTTTGCGTTTGGCATGGTGCCATCTCTGTTTCTGGTTTTTCCCTTGAGGCGATCCCATCGCCAAAACATTTAAGGCAACCGAAATATTATGCTCACCGTATGGAGGTTTGTCTTTGCAAATGTGTGTTACGTTGGCTTGGCATTGTGCCACCTTTCTCCCGGTGCCCTTGCCGCTCCTGAAAAGATGCCATCACAGAATCGCTGGCAACCGTTGCCTGGGCACTTCTTCTTGGCTTTGTCCAAGCAAACAAGCGGCAATTAGCAGCAAATCCTCAGAGGTGAGTCCTCTTGTCTTTGACTAAGACTGTTCTTCACCGAAAGCTTTGATCGTTTTGGATATGCCATGACTGAAGGCTGGCATGGTGCCCGCTGGCTGGCATGGCGCCCGCTGGCTGGCACGCTTTCGCTGGCATTGAGAGAAAGAAACGTTGATAAATTAACGGAATTCCGGATTTTTCGCCGCCAATTTTTTCGTTTGATAATCGGTCATCACTGAGTATCACCTTACTGTTTTGTAGTATCATCCACTTCGCCATTTAACATCCTTCTTTGCTTCCCGTCATCCATTTCCATCTTAGTCATCCTGTGTCTGCTGGTATCTTGCTCACTTCTATGCTCTGCTGTGATCTCAGAATTTCTAAATCTGCATTTCTTCGCCCGCTCTGCCGTTCGTTTCGCCCAGTTGTGCCCGTGCCAAGGTGGCACCATGGTAGCAGTATGGAGGTCTGTTCCTGTTCCTCTTCCTCTTCCATTCTTATTCTCCTCGCCCCTTCGCCCGTGCCCATGCCCGCCCCGCTCAAGTCCTGACTGGATGGCACTGTGCCAACCTGCCACCGCCATCGCTCTCATTTGTAGCTCATCCCTCCGTTGCCCTTCCCCCTGACTCTATATTTCCATCCCTCTCTCCTTCCCTCATTTCATTCATCCACTTATTGAATCATTTACCCTCTATGTGTATGAAATACTGCGTTTGTATGTTTACACAACATTAGCCGATTAACAAAACTTTTCATTTCTTAATGCGTGCAGAATATTGGCAGTCTTTTTTGGCACCTGAAGGAATGCTCTGAGTGACTACACTGTAGATAATTACCGCTGCAGTTACTTATTCCACCGAGACAAGAGGAGGAAAAGGAAGAGAGCCCTGAGTTTGGATAAAGCTTGTGTTGTTTTAATTAACTTTACCAACCCCCAACATGTGTGCTTCTTTAACATCTCTTGTGCAGGTTTTCGTTTTAGCACACACACACACTATACAAACAGACATACGACTTATCCGATTATCACTCAAATCAATTGTGTACAATTGACCTTCCCCACTATTTCTAAGATGACCCTTACTCCTTTGTTTTCTTCTTCTCCTTTTTTAAATCTCTTGTGTCAAACAAAAGCTGCCAGTGGTGGTGGAGTTTTAAGCAAATACTCTCATTAGAACACAAAACATAATTAATATGTAAATGATGTGTGTAATTTATGCATGGTCTGACAGACTTGTTCTCTTTTCAGCTCTCCATTGTATTCACTCTATTTATATCCCCTTTACTTAAAACTTCACACTAACGCCAATTTTCCTCTTTTCTTAGACCACATACTGTGAATGAATCCATGGGGGATGTCTTGAGGTCTTTCCTATTGTCTCTTTTTTTGTACACGTTTCTCCCTGCCTTTAACCATGGTTTATAGTTTCTAATAGTATCTCTGAATCTCTGTTTTCCCTGCTTGCCTCTCTCTGCTCACAGCCTGTCCTCTCCTAAAACAAACCCTGCAGTGACGCATTAAACCAACAACTGAGTGTTTGAACAAGGTCTTTCTTCCAGGAATATGAATACTGAATAATCTATCCACTAAATAACATCCACACTGCACTGTGTCGTATTCTGTGTTTTCTCTTTGTCTGTCCCTGAATGTGTTGATCTTAATGTGTGGTACAAACCGTGTGGTAAATTGAAGAATGTCCTGATAGACGGTGAGTAGCCTTGCTCCTGTCTAGGATAAACACCTATAATACGCTGGCTCCCTTGGCAATCACCATAGCAACAAACCATGGTACCCACGTGAGTTGCATAATAAGATGTTCTCCAAGACCACAGACCATAAAGCGGCGACAAACTAGACACCTGCAGTAATGGATGTGAATCAGAAAACAACAGTTCAAATGTAAAATTTCACCTCCGACTCATTCCAGACCAATCCTTTCTATTTATCAATAGGCTCACATCACACAACACACAGTCTTAGATGCTCATGCACCTTCTCTCTGTCTCTCCAGACCTTAACAGGTGCTGATGAGCCACAGTCAATGATTGTAATGAGCTATCGATCACCGTGGGAAAACCCAGGGACAGAGAGGGTGAGGGAGGTAGGGGGAACCAGAGGACACACACACACACACAGACAGAAGGAGGTGGACTGCCAGAAAAGAAAAAAACTTCAAATGAGCTAAATGGAGACAAGCTACCCAAGACAGAGTATCAATACTTGCTTTAATCAAGTCCTTATCTCCTATTGTTCTGCTTAAAATAGAATATATGGGGAAGGGCTCTCTGCCAGAGCAGGTTGAAGGGAGGTTTTGAACCCAGAGTAGCTTCTGGACCGGCTGATCTGCTCAGGATGACCATGCAGACACGTTTGTCGTGACCGGGTCCAGATGCCCGGGAATGGCACTGACGCAGTATCTCTATTTTCTTCTTTTTGTGCTGTGTGCATGGAGTGGAGGCAGACAGCTTTAGGGAAGGGGGAGGTGCGTTGTGTGTGTTGGCTGGCGTTTCAGATAATGAAATGCAGCAGGGAACAAAGAGCTGGGGGCCCCTATTCTCTGTGCTGCAGCTTCATTTTCAGTCCCGTTAGTCTATGATTCTTCCATACCCTCTTTCTTGTGTACTTGTATGCGTGTGTGTTTATGTTTGTATGAGCAGTTTGTTGTGTACACCCGTGTCCCCTCCTCCTCCTGTTAGTATTCTGCATGGCAGATCCCCCTAATGTAATAACTGTGTCTGCATGTCTAATTTACAGCAGGAGAGAGTAAATAGCCTGTGGTTAATTACAGTACGTGTGTGTGTATATGGGGGAGTGTGTGTGTGTGTGTATGTGTGTGTCTACATACGCGTGGGTGTGTCAGAATGATTTATGAGTTGCAAATAGCTACACCAGTGGCCCGTTTCTCCTCACTTAGTTTTTAATCTGTCTTTCCATTAATTTTCCTGGAGACGTTATTATGGTTTTATAACGGTGTGCACGAGGATACTATGTGAGTGCACATATTTCTTAATGAGACAAAGGTGTGGACATTTTGTGAGGATATAGGCTACTTGGGCACCTGAGCTGCACTTTGCTTTTCCCTCCTTAGAGAACTCCATTTGCCTTCCTTCCTTTCCCTCCTTTTTTCCGTTGCTTCATTCACTCTCTTCATTGAGAGCCACAATGAACACAGATCTTTATTGACAGTACACGGTAGAACATGGAAACAGCAGGTCAATCCGTTTAGCCCAAGGGCCGATACACCAATTCACCAATTTGTCAGTGTTAGTTTGAGAGAGAAAAGCAGCTAATCTCTCCTCTCTGCTCTCTATTGATCACACACTTAGACTCCACTTCTCTGTCTAAACACTATTGATTCTCTCTCTCTCTCAATCTCTCTCTTTCTTTCTCTCTTTCTGTCTTGCTCTCGCCACATACCACAGCTCTCAACACATCTTCACTTCATACACTGACTTCTGTTGGGACAGAAGTTGAATATTTGAGACTGTATTTCCTAAAGCCCCAATTCACATTTGTAATGAATTCTTGAGAACATTTTAGCATGAACAAAACAAGACTAAATCAATTCAGTAATAGTGTAATAGAGCTTATCAACTATACAAATCATTTAAGAGTTTATTCCACAACTGTCACATATTGTTCCCTGCTGTGTTCACTCAAAAGCGTATGCATAGTCTCATTAAAAAAATCAATTACGTAGCAACCCCTACACAGCTTCAACACAGACAATGATTACAAATTCACTGCCGGGTACACTGTCTCCCGGCTTTGTTTTTCAGCCTGACATCACAGGGTGCATTTGAAAAGGACCATATTCATGTCAAGATGAAGGCTACGCAAAAAATATAGAAAGACTATCTTAAGGGAGATGGCACCCCTACATCAATCCAAATTGAACCAAAGATCACTACTTGATTGGTTTCAGTGTGTGTGGGGCCTTGTCATGTTTTAGTTGAGACGTAACATTTGAAAAAGGAATGATTACACTGTTGATGACAAGATGAAACACAGAGAGACAGACCTATGACACAAAAACAGGCGTTCTTCTTGCATCTATCATATCCTTCTGCCATAATATCTAATAAACGAAATGTAAACAGGGAATCCCAACTGTTACTCAGATGCTTTGAAAAACAGCCATTGGTTTCCCTATCTTCCCCACATAGCGTGTATGTATTAGACTTGTACCCCCTCTACTGGTGATATAAACACATTACAAATGTTAAACTTTGCAGGTTACAAAACATAAACACATGGATTGTGTAACCTAAAATCAGCTGTTTGATAACCGGCACTTGGGCGTATGGTGAGGAGCGCATCATGTGCTAAATGTTTAATGTATAGTTATTAACAATCAGTCACCTTTTAGTTTGAGATGGCTCCTTCAGCGGCTGCTAGTGAAGACAGGAAAGCCTTGGTGAGGAGGATGTTAATAGAAGTTCTGATGGGTCGAGAAGATCCAGAGGGGTTCTTTGCGATGTGTGTGTCCGCTCTGGGGCCCCAGGAGACCCGATCTCAGTTCCTGGCCCTCATCCAGCCCCTGTCCACGGCCAACAGCTCCCTGCACTCCGGCCTCACCTCCATCTACGAGCAATATTTCTCCAAGGTTAGTGTGTAAAGTTATTTATTTAATACAAATAGCATTCTATGTTGTTGCACTTTTAAATACCTGGGTTACAAAGTTGTTAAAAGTTGCTTACAATGTAGGCTACAGTTTTTAAAAGAGAAGAAACAAAAAGAATGCATTTAAAGAAAAACTACAAAATGCAAGTCACCCAACTAGCCAAACTTGTAAGAAAAGTTGTCATGGCTAACGTGTTAGCAAACAATTAGCCATGATACTAGTTAGTGTTTGTCCCCGAAATTGACATTAGCACTAATATAGCAACATGGACCCATATAAGTGGCACTTTCATTTACATGTATTCACTTTTTGATCTACCTGCTCCCGAGATAAATGCCTGACTCTTGGCTTTCCAAATAAGCTGATGTCTTCTCCCTTCACTTCCTTTCTGCAATTTATTTTCCCCTGCATGCTCTTATTAGCATGTCAGGTGAGGCTAACTTGTGTTAGCTCCTGTACTGGGAGCATATAGTGTTTTGGCTTTCTAGGACCAAATACCACATGCGATGAGTTAAAAATGAATATGTAAGTCCAATAAATAAGTCTGCCCAAGATATAATTTAGCCACATATCACCTGAAGGCCCAGTACAACTTTCTCTTCTCATAGTGTATTCAAATAAATACATTTAATAACCATATGTTATTTATTAGCAATACAATCAGTTTAAATACAAATGGCACGGTGCTCTTAAATGTGGAACATAGCCAATAGGGGTGTCAGAGAGATGTCCGTAATTCAAATGTTAAGACATCACCCGCATGTGTCGCACACACAAGTTCATACATTTAAAAGAACACATACCTGAATAGGTTTGCAGAAACCTTTTTGCATAGTTTCTGTAAAAATCCTACCCTGGTGGTTGATCTTATAAGGTACAGTACAAACATCTGACCCTTTAAACTGCAACAATTTGCTTTCTTGCTATTGTTATGCCTGTTACAAACACACATAGGCTATTGCAAATATTGTATTTGCATATTTTCATCTCTACCCCAATGACGATAAGCAGCTGTTTTAACAGTAGGCCTACTAACATTTTATTTTCCTATTTGAATTGGAGACTGAAGATGATGAACTGCAACTCGCATTGGCTCTCTCTCTACTGGAAGTGAAAGATGACCAGCTGTCAACCCCCAGCCAAGACTCCCCACTTCAGCCACCTAGAGACAGACCAAATCAGAGAAGCCCTGCTCAAAAGTCAACAGTATCTCAGCCTCAGGGAAACAGCAACACCAAGCCAGCAGATGGAGTTGGTAGGAGAGAACACACCATCACAACACAAACTGAAGCCAGGTTCAAGGCGAGCCCATTACAGACATTCAGAGAAACTGAGCTTCAGAAAAACAATGTTGACAAATATAAAATGGGGACACCAGGGACAAGTCTGGCTGGGTGTGTCTCCAGTCCGTCCGGCTTGTTTTTAAAGCAAAACACAATTGAAAAAGATAACCAAATGATGAACGAGGGAGATTGTAATCAACCAGAGACACCAAAACGCTCTAAGAACAGGCGGCAGAGGCGTAAAGGCGCTGGCCAGAAGGTTGTAGGTTTGCCCTGTTCTCCATCAGCACAACCACCCGTTCTGCTGTGGTTCAGGAGGGACTTGCGACTTGGGGACAATCCTGCTCTTATCGGCTCTCTGGAGGTTGGTTCACCCGTCATCCCTGTCTTCATCTGGAGCCCTGAAGAGGAGGAGGGACCTGGGATAACAGTGGCTATGGGGGGAGCCTGTAAGTTAACAGAGGAAATAATAATAATGGTCAATCGCTGTCCCATATTGATTTTTTTCATTGAGTTTCATGTCTTCAGATGGTTGTCCTCTTACAAATGTTCTTTTTAACAGGTAAATACTGGCTTCATCAAGCTTTGTCTTGTTTCTCTTCATCTCTGGAGCGCATTGGCAGCCATCTTGTCTTTCTTAAGGCAAATGGATCATCTCTGTGTACCCTTAAGGAGCTAGTAAGAGAGACGGGAGCTAGAACGGTCTTGGCTAACGCCCTCTATGAGCCCTGGCTGAAGGAGAGGGATGATGATGTAGAGTCAGCCCTTCAGGAAGATGGTGTTGAATGCAAGATGTACCACTCATACTGTCTCAGAGACCCCTACTCTGTCAGCACTGAGGGTGTGGGACTCAGAGGTAAGTTGCAACAAGTTTAATTTGGTGAACAGAACTTCAATTATTTGTGGTAAATATCTGCTTTAAATCTGCTAGCAATACAAGTTAATTGGTAAGTTTATTCAATTGTGAACTGTGTTATCTTCTCTGGATTTAGGAATAGGTTCAGTGTCTCACTTCATGAACTGCTGTAGACAGAACCCAGGGTCTGCTTTAGGGGCCCCTCTGGACCCTCCTGTATCTCTACCCACACCCGCGTATTGGCCTCAGGGTGTCTCTTTGGAAGTGCTAGGCCTGGGTCGTATGCCCCGCAGGAAGGATGGCACAACGGTCAGTAACCACAGCAGAGCAGCGCTGTAAGGCAGAGTTATAATCCAAAACACAGTCAAGATTAGATCATGAAATCATTAACATATCTTTATTTATATTTTGGCATTCAGATTGACTGGGCAGCTAACATCCGCAAATCCTGGGATTTCAGCGAGGATGGAGCATGTGCCCGGCTAGAGGCCTTTCTGAATGATGGTGAGACATCTTGCATGCACATTGTAAACAGTGATGCACAATATGGAAGTTGTGAATTGTCTCATTGATGTAACAGTATCTTATGATCCCTCCATGTTTCCTAGGTGTGTATAGATATGAAAAAGAGTCAGGCAGGGCAGATGCTCCAAATACCAGCTGTCTGTCTCCTTACCTTCACTTCGGTCAGTTAAGCCCTCGCTGGCTGTTATGGGATGCCAAAGGGGCACGCTGTCGACCCCCGAAGTTCCAACGCAAATTGGCGTGGAGAGATTTGGCTTACTGGCAGCTGACATTGTTTCCTGATCTCCCCTGGGAATCCCTCAGACCTCCATACAAGGTATATGATTAGTTTAAAACACCCATATTAAAATGTAGTGTAAGTAATACTCATAAAAGCAACAAGAAAGTTGAACAACTCAAAGCCTAAAGGACACCGCTAAGAACTATGTTTATTACAAAGCAATATTCGTATTTGCAGGCTCTGCGGTGGAGCAGTGATAGAGACCACCTGAAGGCCTGGCAGCGGGGGCGGACAGGCTACCCTCTGGTGGACGCAGCCATGAGGCAGCTGTGGCTGACAGGTTGGATGAATAACTACATGAGACATGTGGTGGCGTCTTTTCTAATAGCATATCTCTATCTCCCATGGCAAGAAGGCTATCGTTGGTTCCAGGTGAGACATAATAATAATTATCATAATAATAATTTTATTTATATAGCGCTTTTCACAACTCAAAGACGCTTTACAGTATGAGGGAGGGTAGACAAACAAGGACAGGCAAACAAGTAAATATAGTAAAATAAAATAAACAAAAAAAGGCAGTCAAGAGGAAGTTGATTGAGAGGGGAGGGGCTTATGGGTAGACAGAGTTGAAAATATGTGTTTTGAGGCGGGACTGAG